GGGGCGGGTAAGGATACTTGGGGGGTAGGGGCAGGCCAACGATGTCTGTGAATTCTGAGGGGAGTGGTTTGGGGATTTGGGGGGGGGGGTTTGTGGGTGTGTGTGGAGGAGGGGCGGGGGGGGGGGGGGTGGGGAGTGTACTTGGGGGTGGGGGGGAGGGGGGTTTGATTAAAAGTGAGGGGTGGTGGGGGGGGGGAATGGTTGGGGGGGGTGGAATTGGGGGGGTGGGAATGGGGGTCAGGGGGTGGGAGGGGGGGGGGGGGTGGGGGGAGAGGGGGGCGCTGCGGGTGAGGTGATGAGAGTGCGTGTGCATGAGGTGAGGAGGAAACGATGATGAGAGTGTGACGGGGGGGGCGGCAATAACCATCTATGAACCTCTATATATGGATTGTCGTTAGAGGGTGGCGCGAGGGGGCGCGGGCTGTGATTCTAGTATTTGTAACTGATGAAAAGTTTTCATGGGCCAGCACAACCACTTGAAAACGCTTAAAACAGCCAGAAACATCATGAATTGCATACTGGGCAGCCACCAACTGTGATTCTATGTATTTGAACTGATTCTGTTGTAAAAGTGAATTCCATGCAGCAAACCACTTGAAACAACGCTTAAAACAGGCCAGAAACATCATGAATTGCATACTGCAGCCAACAACACTGTGATTCTATGTATTTGAACTGATTCTGTTGTAAACGTGATTTCAAGCAGCAAAACCACTTGAAACGCATTAAAACAGGCCAGAAACATCATGAAAAGGCATACTGGCAGCCAACACTGTGATTCATGTATTTGGAACTGATTCTGTTGAAAAGTGAATTTCATGCAGCAAACCACTTGAAACGCTTAAAAAACAGCCAGAAACATCATGAAATTGCATACTGGCATCCAACTACAGTGATTCTATGTATTTGAACTGATTCTGATGTTAAAGTGAATTTCATGCAGCAGCACCTCCTTGAAAACGCTTAAAACAGGCCCATAAACATCAATGAATTGCATACTGGCAGCCAAACAAACCAGTGATTCTATGATTTTGAACTGATTCATGTTGTAAACGTGAAATTCCATGCAAGCTGAAACGCTAGGGGGGGTCTTACCGACTCTTCGGGTTAGCGCGGAGTAGACAAATCCATAGCGAGAATGAGTCTATGGGGGAAAAGTGTGGATTGAGTCAAGGTCAGTCTGCCATTGAGGGACCAAGGTGGTGCAACTGTGAATAATGTATTTGAACTGATTCTGTTGTAAAAGTGAATTTCATGCAGGCAAGGCCACTGGAAACGCTTAAGACAGGCCAGAAACATCATGAATTGCTACTGGCAGCCAACAAATCTGTGATTTTCTAGTATTGAACGATTCTGATGTAAAAAAGTGAAGATCATGCAGCAAAACCACATGAAACGCTAAAAACAGGCCAGAAACATCATGAAATGCATACTGTGCAGCCAACACCTGTGAGTACTATTGTATTTGAACTGATTCTGTTGTTAAAAGTGAATTTCATTACAGCAAACCACTTAAACTCGTTAAACAAGCCAAAAACCTCATGAAATGCATACTGGGCAGCCACACAGTGATACTATGTATTTTGAACTGATTCTGTTGTCAAAGTGAATTTCATGCTGCAAACCACATTGAAAACGCTTAAAACAGTCCAGAAACATCATGAATTGCCATACTGGCAGCCAACAGACGTGTGATTCTATGTATTTGAACTGATTCTGTTGTAAAAGTGAATTTCCATGCAGCAAAACCACTTGAAAGACGCTTAAAAAACAGGCCAGAAACATCAATGAAGTGCATACTGGCAGCCAACAACTGTGATTCTATGTATTTGAACTGATTCTGTTGTAAAAGTGAATTCATGCAGGCAAACAACTTGAAACGCTTAAAACAGGCCAGAAACATCATGAATTGCATACTGGCAGCCAACAACTGTGATTCTATGTAATCTTGAACTGATTTTCTGTTGTAAAAGTGAATTTGTCATGCAGCAAACCACTTGAAACGCATAAAACAGGCCAGAAACATCATGAATTGCATACTGGCAGCCAACAACTGTGATTTTATGTATTTGAACTGATTCTGTTTGTAAAAGTGAATTTCATGCAGCAAACCACTTGGAAACGCTTAAAACAGGCCAGAAACATCATGAATTGCATACTGGCAGCCAACAACTGTTGGGTATTTCTATGTATTTGAACTGATTCTGTTGTAAAAGTGAATTTCATGCAGCAAACCACTTGTAACCAGCATAAAACAGGCCAGAAAACCATCATGAATTGCATACTGGCAGCCAACAACTGTGATTCTACTGTATTTGAAGCTGATTCTGTTGTAAAGGGAATTCATGCAGCAAACCACTTGAAACGCTTAAAACAGGCCCAGAAACATCAGGATTGCATACTGGCAAGCCAACAACTGTGATTCTATGTATTTGAACTGATTCTGTTGTAAAAGTGAATTTCATGCAGCAAACCACTTGAAACGCTTAAAAATCAGGCCACAAACACTCATGAATTGCATACTGGCAGCCAACAACTGTGATTCCTATGTATTTGCAACTGATTCTGTTGTAAAAGTGAATATTCATGCAGCAAAACCACTTGAAACGCTTAAAACAGGCCAGAAACATCATGAATTGCCATACTGGGCAAGCCAACAACTGTGATCCTATGTATTTGAACTGATTCTGTTTGTAAAAGTGAATTTCATGCAAGCAGCACCACTTGAAACGCTTTAAAACAGGCCAGAAACATCCCAAATTGCATACTGGCAGCCAACAACTGTGATTCTATGTATTTGAACTGATTCTGTTTGTAAAAGTGAATTTCATGTTTTACAAAGCAGCAAACCACTTGAAACGCTTAAAACAGGCCAGACACATCATGAATTGGCATACATCCAAACAACGTGAGGATTCCTATTAGTTGCATGATTCTGGTTGTAAAAGTAGAATTTACATGCAGCAAACCACTATGAAACCTTAAAACAGGCCAAAACATCTGAAATGCCTACTGTCACCAAACACCTGTGATTTTTATGTATTTGAACTGATTCTGTTAGTAAAAGTTGAATTTCCAAGCAGCAAACCACTTGAAACGCAAAAACCGGCCCGAAACATCATGAAATTGCATACTGGTCAGCCAACAATCTGTGATTCTATGTATTTGAACTGATTCGTGTAAAAGTGGAATTATCCGCAGCAAACCACTTGACACGCTTACAAAAACAGGCCAAAAAACATCAAGACTGCATACTGGCCGCCAATCGACGTGATTCTATGATTTGAACTGATTCAGTTGTAACATTGAATTTCATGCAGCAAACCAATTGAAACCTTAAAACAGTCCAAACCATACATGATTTGCAAACTGGCAGCCACCGCTGTGGAATCTATGTATTTGAACTGATTCTGTTGTTAAAATGTGAAATTCATTGCAGTCAAACCAACCTTGAAACGCTTAAAACAGGCCAGGAAACATCATGAATTGGCATGACTGGCAGCCAACAACAGTGGATTCTATGTATTTGAACTGATACTGTTGTAAAAGTGGAATTCCATGCAGCAACCCACTTGAAACGCATAAAAACAGGCCAGAAACATCATGAGATCTGCAATACGGCCCACCAACAACTGGTGATTCTATAGTATTTGGAACTGATTCTGTTTAAAAGTGAATTTTTCATCATCCACCACTATGAAAACGCTTAAAACAGGCCAGAAACATCATGAATCGCATACAGGCATGCCAACAACTGAGAATTTATGGCATTTGAACTGAATCTGTTGTAAAAGTGAAGTTCATGCAGCACCACTTGAAAGCTTAAAAAAAACAGGCCAGAAACATCAAGAAATGCATACTGGTCAGCCAACTACCTTTATTCAATTATATTGAACATGAATTTCAGTTGTAAAATTGTAATAAATCATGCAGCAAACCCCACTTAAACGCTGTAACCAGGCCCAGAAAAATCATGAAGTTGCATACTGGCGCCAACAACGTGATTCTATGAATATGAACTTAAATTCTTGTTGTAAAAAAGTGAATTCATGCAGCAAACCACTTGGAAACGCTTAAAATCCAGGCCAGAAACATCATGAATTGCATACTGGCAAGTGCCAAACAACTTTATTCAATGTATTTGAACTGAGGATTCCCTGTTGTAAAAGTGAATTTCATGCAGCAACAAACCCACTTGAAACCGCCTTTTTAAAACAGGCCCATGAAACACAAATGAATTGCATACTTGCAGCCAACAACTGTGATATCTAATGTATTTGAACTGTATTCTGTTGTAAAAGTGAATTTCATGCAGCAAACCACATGAAAACGCTTAACAAACAGGCCAGAAACATCATGAAGCTTGCGAATACTGGCAAGCCGAACACCATGTGATTCTAAGTATTGAAACAGAATCTGTTGTAAAAGAGAATTTCATGCCGCAAACCACTGAAACGCTTAAAACATGCCAGAAGACATCATGACAGTTCGTTGATCTCAAGAGTGTGTGTCTGTGACCTCGGAGGGTGGGGGGTCGGCGTGCGGGTGTGCCACAACGGAGTGAGACGGAGACGTGATTGTGGGGATACTACTATACATATTGACAGGGGCGGGTGTCGGTCTGGTTCGAGGGATCAGTGGGTGATTTTGTGAATCTGGTGTTCTGGATGGTTGAATATCACACAGAGGGTCATGGCACAAACCACTTTGAAACCCGCTTAAAAACCGGCCAAAAACATCAAGAATTGCATACGGCAGCCCAAGGACGACACTGTGAATGGAATTGAGTGGGGGGAGCTGCCTAGTAGGTAGAGTGTGGGGGGCGGAGGAGTGTTGGGAGTGGGATGTCAGACTGATTCTGTTTTGTAAAAGTGAATTTCCATGCGCCAACCCAAATGAAACGCTTAAAACAGCCAGAAACAACACGACGTTATGCTTGTCAGAGGGTATGGCATACTGGCACCAACAACTGGTGATTCTATGTATTTGAACGTGTGCTGATGGGTTGGAGGGGTGGGGGGAGTGGGGGGGGGTGGGGGGGGGGGGGGGGTGCATGGGGGTGGTGGGGGGGTTTTGGGTTGAGGGGTGGGGGGGGGGGGGGGGGGGGGTGTGTGGATAGAGGGAGGACGTTGGGGTGATTGGTGGGGGGGGGGGTGGGGTGGGGGGGTGGGGACGGGCAGGGGTGGGGGGGGGTAGGATGGGGATAGGGGAAGGGAGGGGGGGGTGGGGGGGGGGGGGGGGGGGGGGGGCATATGGGGGGGGGGGGGGGGTGGTGTAGAGAGGGAGGGGGGGGGTGGGGGAGGGCTGGAGGGGGGGCGTGGGGGGGGTGGGGGGGGGGGGGTGTGGTAGTGTGGGGAGAGGCTGGGGGGAGAGGGCGGAGGGGGGGGGGGGGGGGGATGGGAGTGGGTTTATAGTAGGTTGGTATTGGGGGGGGGATGTAGTGGGGGGGGTGGGGGAGGGGATGGGGGGGTGGGGGGGAGATTATAGGAAGAGTGGATGGCGGTGTAGGGTTTTGGGTATGTGTTGGGGTGGTAGGTGTGGGGTATCTATGGGGGGGGGGGGTGGGGGGGTATGGGGGGGGGTGGGGGGGGGTGGTGGTTGGGGGGGGGGGGGGGGGGGGGGGGGGGGGGGGGGGGGGGGGGATTTGGGATGGAAGGATTTAATAGGTTTAAGGTTTTTATATGGAATGATAATTATGGTTGTATGTATGATGAATTATAAATGGGTGGATTTGGGTGGGGGGTGGTATATATGATGTATGGTTGGGTAAAGTGGTTTTGATTGAAGATAATAATATTGGAATCGCTTATAAACAGGACAGAAAATTATGAATTGCAAAGTACGCAACTACATAATGTGGAGTCCTATGTAATTTGGAACGATTCTGTTGTAAAGGAATTCCCATGCGCAAAAACCACATGAAAACTGCTTAAAAACAGGCCAAAACATCATGGAATTGGGGCATACTGCAGCCACAACTGTGATTCTATGTATTGGAACTGATTCTGTTGTAAAAAGGTGAATTTCATGCAGCAACACGTGAAACGCTTCAAAACAGCCTGAAACAGCAGAATCATGAATGCCTACTGGCAGCCAACAACTGGTGATTTTATGTATTGTCACTCAGGCTGGTTTACACGTTCGGAGTGGCGGGTGAAGATGTAAAAGTGAATTAGTCCATGCAGCAAAGTCCCGCAGAGTGAAACGCTTAAAACAGGCCAAAACATCATGACTGTGCATACTAGGCAGCCAACAACTGTGATCTAATGTATTGTTGGCGGAAGGGATGGTTGACAAAATCTGCATATTGAATAACCCAATGGGTGGGTTTGAGCTTTCTAGTGAGGGGTGACGGCGTGGGGGGGTTCTGGGCATGGGGGGGGGTGCGGGGGGAGGGGGGGGGGGGGGTTGTGTGGGGGGGGGGGGGGGCGGGGGGGAGGGGGGGGGATTTTGCGTAAAAGGTATCGCTAAATCAGGGGGTGTGAGGGGTGCCGAGGAGGAGGTGAGTGGACTGATGCAGGAATTTGGCGATACTGGCAAGCCAACAGAGCGGGTGTGATTCTATGATTGTCAACCTGATTCCTGTAGTGTTGTGTGGGGAGCTGACAGTGAGTGCACTATGGGGTGCGCGAGTTGTATTACTTCGGATGCAGCAAACCACTGAAACGCTTAAAACAGGCCGAAAAATCAAAGAATTGCATACCTGGTAACAAAGCAACAACTGGGATTCTATGTAATTGAACTGAAGCTCAGTGGGTGGACGTGTGTTGTAAAAGGTGACGGGGACGGAGAGCTCGCTGCTATGTTATGCGCGTCAAAACCACTTGAAAACGCTTAAAACAGGCCAGAACCACGATGAATTGCAGACAGGACAGCCAACAACCACCTGTGATTCTATTTAATTAGAACTGATTCAAAAATATATTAAGTGCTTGTGTTTAGCTCAGACTGATTTGTTGTTATATTTCTCAGTAAAGGATGTGTTTATTGGTGCTTCACTTTGAACTATGGTTGCAGTTTGTAGCGTTGGGAAAAAGTGGTGAATTTGGCTTTGAGGGGACATGATGTGCAAAAAGAACTTTTCGCCGCATTTGACTGTTAGAGTTTGTTTTCTCAAGTCATTTCCAGATCACAGTTGTTGTTAGGTGATTCTTGCAGTGTAACCACTTGAGCTCACGACTGCTGAAGTGCGATCGCGGAGATATCAAACCTGTTGGTCGCAGGTCTGAGTGCTGCTGCAGCTGTCAAAAGCCGTGCATACACTGAGAGGTGAGAGCAGGACACAGACAAGACATAAAGGTTTAGTTCTGACTTTAAATACATGTAACTGCCATGTTATACTAGCGATTATATGATGTTGTATATGATGTTGGAGAATACACACAACACATGAGAGGCACACAAAAACTGTACACACTAACAATCAGAGAAAGAACGAGGCAGCAAAAGGTGAACGCCATAATACCAAGGGATCACTGTACCCTCGATACTAAACTTTATGGCGATTAGAGCGTTATTGGGGGCTTCTTCACATGTTTTTATTGGTATGGGAAGCCGGAGCACCTGGAGGAAAAGCTTGAAAACTCCACATAGAAAGGACTGGGGGTGGAATCAAACGCCACCGTGCCACCCCAATATGTACTGTAATGTCAGCTGCTGCCATTCAGATATCAGATGAATCAAGGTAATAACGAATCAAAACAAGAGAAATATGGGCAAAACTTCACACAATTTGCAGCATATGTGAAAGTCTTATAAATAAAAATAAATTCACGTAGCCTTGTGAAAAGAGGACTGAGCTGCAATATTACTGTCAATTACCCTCGGAAACCTTTGCACCGCTTCGTCAATAAAACGCTGGGAGCCACATTCGAGTCAATGCCACAGAAAAACCCACTCTCACTCTCTCTCCACTTTTATGGCAACGTGCCCAATAGATGTTATATTTGATAAGTGCAAATTCAAACTATCTGAGGAGCCAAAGTTGTTGATTGACAGTCAGGCAAACAATTCAACTTTGGCCTAGCTGCGGGGCAGAATAAACTTGGCAAAGCAAAATTCGCCCAGTCCCAATGGGTTTTTTTGTTGTTTTTTTTCTTCTGCGAGGAAAAACATGGCACGCAATGGCACATCATACCTCAAAGTGCATTTCTCTTCCAGTAAAGTCAAATTTGATTATTTGAGAATTGTGTCTGTTTAAAAGATATCTGAAAAAGCAGGTTTTCTCAATTTCTTTGTTTTTAGAGTTTTTTCTTGCCGATGCAGGAGGGTTAGGGTGACATGATCCAGGACACTCAATATTCAACATTTATCAACATTTAGGTACCATTTAGGTTCTATGTGTTATTTTATAATTGTATTTCCTGTGTTTTAACTTGTTTGTGATTGATTCTCTGATCTGTGTTGGCGAATCAACGGTTTTGTATAGTCCTCCCAGATAACTACTGTTGTGAATTAGGGCTATACAAAAATGAATTGAGTTGAAATGAATAGAAAAAGGTTTGCTTATCCTGAATAGGCAACAATACTTATGTTGGGTTGGTTTGATCTCTGTCGTTGCTACGTAAACCCGGCGATATGGAGTCGTTTCAAAAGGCCTGGCAGTCATGAGCGATGACAGCAATAGCACTTAAAGACAAAAATAAATCAATTGCCGAGTTCTCACATACCTGCGACCTTATGGTAAGACCGGTCACCGCTGGCCGGCTTTGAAATATGACCCTCATAAAAGCGGCTGCAATTTTCTTTCTTTCAGTCAAGATCATTCAAATAGATGTCGCCAAGGTGTTCTGTGTTATTTAAGAGGAATTTCTCTTTTGGTGGAGCTGCTTTTGTCTGGGGTCGGGCTTGAAAATTGAGATGCGTAGATGTTGTTTGGGTTTCTACACGAAACAAGCAATTTGGAAATTATCAGAACCCAATGATATTCTGCACTTTCCCCATGTGTCCTTGTGTGTGTAATTTACAATGATGTGTCTGTATTGGAAATAACTTTTTTTGTTATTGTATTTTTGTACTGACAGTTGACTCCATATTTCTTCCAGTTCATTCAAACTAACGCTTTTTGGAAACTTAAAAACAATTTGTGAGTCCAAAAATTAAAGTCTAATGTACTACTAACCTATTACTAATGTTCTCCAGTCCTGGATCTATATCCTGTCGCTACATTTAAGTGGATTCCTCTCTCCTTCTTTCTGAGATTTGCTACCACTGGGCTTTTGAGTTTTTTCTGTTTTTCAATTCAATTCAATGTATTCAGTTCAAACCAATGGAAATGCACTGATAAGAAAAAATACATTGGTCTATAAGGGCAGAGATTCATAAATGTTGTTGAATGTTGAGTGTCCTGGATCATCACCACTGTCCTTTTAGTTAGACCCTCACAAGGTTCTAACGGACCCTCCTGCATCAGCTAGGAACAACTCTAAAACCCAGTGGGAGAAGGTGAGAAATCTTGGGGTGGTCCACATTGACTGAGGGATCCGCTCCCACAAACAGGCTATGGATCCAGGACTCAGGCTCTTTATGAAAGCTGGGGTACCTACTTTTCAATCTACAAAAACTACACTGTAAAATCCACATATACTATAACTAGCCCCTTTCACTCAGAACATAGATCTTTTTCCAACTGAAAAGCAAAGAAAAGAAAGGACTAACCTCGCTCAGCCAATCGGATCTCAGCCCAAAGCTCTGTGAGTAAAATAGTGACTCGTAGGTGTCTTTCTTACAAGTCTACAAAGGATAACACGTTTTCTAGTGGGAATCTCCTTCAGTTGGGACAAACAACATGTATTATAATCAAGGAATGAAAAGGTGCCAACACAATAATATTGGAGAGATAGATAGATAAATAGATAGATAGATAGATATTTGGACAGACAGAGAGACAGATAGATAGACGGATTGATAGACAGACAGGTAGGTAGATAGATAGATGGATGGATCAATAGATAGATGGATGAAATAAGGAAATCATGCTGCTCAAATTCACTCATACATAAGAGAAAGAGGAGCAAAAGAAACGGTGGTGGTACTTGAAAATGCAAAACATCTATTCTCCAAACATCCAAACGCCCGTTGCGCAGATTGCAATCCCTCTGGGCTGCCGGCGGATGAATGGGGAGCCATAGTGAGAGTTCATTCAAGGCTGGAGCTGTCGTAAAGCGTCACACAGGCAGAATGCTAAAGTCAGCGCTGGCTCCTGACCTATTTCTGTCCATACGCACACACGCATCGACGCGCGCGGCTAACCCTGTCTGCCTGCAGCCACGTCACTGCTAACGCCAGACCCGCCGGAGATAATAACGGGCTGTGATTATAGGAATCGACCCAAACGGAAAGACACGGCTGAATGGGTGGAGATTTGCTTGGGTTTGCATGCTGTGATCAGTGTTGCAGAGATATGACGTATGCACTTGTTATGAAGTGGCTAGTACAGGGTATGTGTGAGGGTAGATCAATGTTAAATCACTTGTGAACGTCTATTGGTTCAAGCTGAGGCACAAATATTTTCTCCTTAAATAATCCATGTTGTTGGTCCCATCTCGTCTTTACTTTGCTGTCTGAGGATGTGACAGAGGTCAAAATAATGCATGTGGAAAACTTGACTTCAATGAACTGCATAGATAAATTATGTTAATAAGTAAAAACATGTTGAAATTACTAGACATTTTTGGATCGCAGACTACTTCCTTCAAACAATTTTTAAAAATCTGCTCAAATGTTTAATTCTATATGTACTAGTATGCTATGGACATTGATATATTGAATAGGTACTGTTTCTGCTTGGAATATAAAAAGGTGAAAGAAAATATGAGCCAAGTTACATTTTGTTACAAGGTCAAAATGCAGTTGTCAAATTATAAAAGGAACATGAAACTAAAAATGTCATATTATTTGTATGAAGAAAAAATTAACAAAAAGAAAAGAGAAAGAAAATTTAACCACAAAAAAACGTGATGATTGAAAATTGATAATTGTATTGAATCAGGGCTTGATTTGTGACCGCCCTATAAAATTGCACTCGGACTCTGAGGAGCACAGGGACTGGCCTCCTGCTGGTTCCCATAGTCCGAACTAAACAAGAGGAGGCAGCGTTTCAGATTTATGCAGCTAAAATCTGGAACAGTCTTCCTGAAAATGTGAGGTTAAAAACGGCTTTGCTTAGCAGGATTGTATCTCCACATGTTTGACTTTTCTTGTTTTATTGAGCTCTTGCCTAGTGTATGAACTGTGCTATACAAAAAAACTTGCTTTGCCTTCAATCATTTCAACATTATCAAGCGTACGAGGACATATTATTAATTAAACCTAATGTTAATTTGAAAAGAAATCTTGACCCAAATTCTCCAAACACGCCTTAAAAATAGCTACAAATATAACATGTCTCGTACCTCGCTAACCCCCCTGTCAGCTTTTAGCCTTAGCTTTTTATTTGCAACGTTAGCTCTGGCGCGCT